GCCACAGTTTGTCGCAAAGCTCGACCTGATCCATACTTTAGCTCCCATTCAACCTTGATTGTCTCCCAAACCTCGACTTTTGGTGCGATTTGCACAGAAAAGCGATCCGTCTTAGCCAGCACATCTCACCAACTCTGTTGGCTCTATCGGTTGTGAAACAATTGCAATATTCGCATCCAACCCTGCCTCCAGCTGTCGACACCATGGCTGAGATTGATGAGTGTACGTTCCAGTCAGGTCGCTTCAATCCATCGTTGCAGGTCACTGATTATTGCTGCAGGGTCGGCGAACGCCACTGAGGCCGTGAACATCAGCCTGACTGCTCCTGCTGCCGGCGCAACGAAGTCGATCGCTTCATTCAACCCAAAGTTCACATACTCCATTTTCGGCGATGAGGAGACCATCTTTGGTTACAAGGATCTCAAGATCAACCTGCGATACCTGACCTACGATATGCGCCCTCATGTTAAGGTGTCGTGGGGCAAGAAGTTCAACTCTGTCGGTGAGACTGAAGCCGCAGATATTGACGACATTCTGAGGCAGCATCTGCCTGGTGGTGAGTGTCGCCTCCGTCGCAACAGGACCATAGCTAACCTCCCGAAGTCGCGTTCCAGTCAGCCAAGGAATTCGAGAGCCGCGCGCAAAGTCAGCCTGACAACTTCACCCCTCCCGGTTCGCTTCACTCGAGCTTCGAAGGCGATGATGGAACATACGAAGTGTGGAAGGGTAGCTTGGCGGACACCGCCGTGCGCCAGATCGTGAACCGCGTCGAGGCCCTCGTTCCGATGTTCATCGAAGGAGGGTCGTACATCGCGCGCGATCCGGAGAATGAGGAGGATCCTTGGAAAGCACCCGAAGACGCCAACCGGTGGACCGTCTACTTTCTGTATCGCAGGCAGCCATCTGCCGAAGCCTCAGAGACACCATCCTACACTTTCGTCGGCTACTCGACTGTCTACAAATTCTTCAGCTTCCGTCCTCCGACGCCACCCTCGAGCGATTGGGATCTCCCGAAGGAGGAGTTCAACCTCCTAGATCAGTTGCCCTGCCGCTCAAGACTTTCTCAGTTCCTTATCCTGCCGCCTTTCCAGGGTAAAGGCATCGGTGCCCGTCTCTACAAGACGATCTTTGACACATACCTTCAAGATCCCCAGACCTTTGAGCTGACAGTCGAGGACCCTAATGAGGCGTTCGATGACATGAGAGATCTCTCTGACTTGACGTTCCTCCGCTCTTTGCCCCAGTTCAGCAAAGTCAAGATCAACACCGATATCTCTCTGCCGAGTCCTCCTACCGGTACGGTCCCCCGGGACCTGGTGGATTACGAGTTGCGTCAGAGCCTCCGCCAAAAGACAAAGATCGTGGAACGTCAGTTCAAGAGACTGATTGAGATGCATACTATGTCTCAGTTGCCTGCTTCGGTCAGGGCAGGATTCGGCGAGGAGAAGAAGCCATTAGCTACAAAGGAGGACAGGCACCAATATCATCTGTGGAAGCTCTTCGTCAAGCAACGCATCTATCGTCAGAACGGCGATGTTCTTGGTCAGCTGGACATCAGCGAGCGAAGTGAAAAGTTGAACGAAGCCCTCAGGAGCGTGGAGCTTGAGTATGCTAGACTCCTGGATTGGCACGCACGTTGGGAGAAACACAGACTTGGTGCCACCGAGGCGGACGAGTCCAGCAGTAAGAGAAAGTCAGTGGATGATGCCGAGGAGCAGGGTTCCAACAAGAAGGTCAGGATCGAAGACGTCTGAGCTCTCCACAACTTACGACGATGGAAAAGGGCAGGGATTGGGTCCAGGAGTTCAAGGTTGTCATCGAGTCTATTCTGTCACTCTACTTAGGCCTCTGCCCGGTTGATACCAAGTTTTTCATAGGCAGTTTGCGGCCACGTTGTCATTAATCAAAATTGAGCATCCTTGGCAGTGAAGTTGCTGCCTGCTCATGACCTATCCAAACTCATGTCTGGCGTGATAGTGCTTTAAAAGCTGGGGAACCCGGATTGCGCAGGGAAACGAGTGCCGTTGACGCCCTGTACGCCCTGGCCGAGCTGGCTAGCGACGACAGTTGATTCACGCACCGCACGTGCAATTGTGCCTCTAACACGACCCTCCTCGAGCACCATCAAGCCTCCGATCGTGCAGCCGCCCGGAGTGGTCACCTTGTCCCGGAGAAGCGCAGGGTGGTCGCCGTTGAGGACCATGCCGGCGGTTCCCCTCATCGTTTGGGCAGCCATTCTCGTGGCCTCAGCACGGGGAAGACCCATGGCAACAGCTCCGTCAATGGCAGACTCAAGCATGAGCGCGAAGTAGGCGGGGCAAGAGCCGCACAGCGCGGTGCTGGCGTCCATGTTATTAGGAGGGAGATAAACCACATCACCAATGCGCCTGAAGATCCAAGTAACCAGGCTGGAGATTTCGGGGGAAAGAGGCCAGGTCGAGGTGCCGATGACGGTCATACTCTCGCGGATCAGCGAGGCGGTGTTGGGAACAGCTCGGATTACGCGGCAGCGGCCGTCTTCCTCTGGGCTCTTGGTGGGCGCTACACCGTGGAGGATCTCCTCGAGGTCGGCCTCGGTGACGCCCGCGCAGACGGAGACAAGGAGCTTGCCATGCAGGGCGCGGGCCATGCCAGGCTCGCTCAGGATATCCTTGACCATGTACGGCTTGCAGGCAAGGAGGATGACGTCGGACTTGAGGACAGAGGGGATGTTCTCGTTCTGGACAACCTTGAGAACGGACGAGTGTTCCCAAAGAGCCTTCTTGACCTTCTTTGCACTTTCAGGACGGCGAACGCAGGCGATGAAGCGGGATGGTAGTCGGCGGGGGACTTCGTCTTGGAGAGGAGTGGAAGTCCCTGACCCTGAGGGAGTCTGCAGGGGCTTGGGAGCTTGCATCTCCTGTAGAGAAGTGAGAATACCATTCAGTATGGCAATGCCCATGGTGCCTGTTCACGTGTTAACCATCTATTCTATTTTGAATGTCGTGTTTTTCTCGTTGAAAAAAAGTCGGTTGGACCTGGTTGAGATAACTTGAAAAATGCGGAGATATCATGAACATCAGAGACACGAGCTTACTTACCACAGCCAAGGACAGTCATGGTGAGCTCGTCTGTCGACGAGGCACCGCCATCGTAGATAGTGAGTGCGTGAGAGGGCATGATGAGACAAAGTGTGAGTTGAAATCGCGGGTATAAGTGAGGTCGTGGCTTGCAGTTAAAGCAATTGAAACGTCTACACGCTGCTGGTCTCTAGGAATCAGATCAAGGGCACAACTAGGTTTGGACCAAAGCTTCGTTTTCAATCGCAACGTGTCAAGCTATTTTAGCCCAGCAGAGCCCAAGTAAATAACATTATTGAAATATTGTTCACCTCCTTTTACAAGACTCCACTGTTCCCGACATCGTCCATATCATCCACTGAGAGCGATCATTTTCCGGGCAGCTACACGCTAACCCAAATCTCGCTTAGCGTCCCCGACTCGGGGTTCTCACAGTGCTGGGGTAGGAAAAATGAGAAATGCACAGGCCGTCCCTGTGAGAATGACACTTTCTGGTAACCAAAGTAAGAGAGCGCTCTGGTCAGCAACTTAATCAGATTCAACTAACCGAAGCTCATCCAGCCAACGGCTTTCAACATCATCAGGAGGAGCACCCGTCGCTTTTATTACCAGGCGGATCAGACGAGCATATATACTGGGGAGTATCCCCAACTGCGACAGACATGGCGGACCCTTTCGAGGTTCGGATGCGCTTTACATCTCAGCTGCAGCACCTGAACGCATCCGTCACTTCTGCTCAGAAGGCTGCCCAGTATGCGCTCAAGTACAAGGACATGGACGAAGACTTGCATTCATGCATTGTCGAACAGTTGGAACGTGGCGTAAGTCCCCTTCTTTTGCGTGAAAAGAATGAGAAAGCTGACCTACATACAGAACAATATGAATACCAGAGCCAACATCATGTACTTCATCGAGCATTTCCTGGAGATGGCGCAGAAAGACAACCACGTGGACTACGTTCGCATGATGCAACGCGACATTATTCGGATCGTCGATGCAGTCGCTCCGGATGATGGATCCGGTGCTGCCAACGTCAAGGTCGTCAGAAGGGCAAGCTAACTCAGCTCTCGCAGTAGAAGAATCAAATGCTGACGTTTCCAAGGTTCTCCAAGGACTTCAACAAAAGCAATTTTTGCAAGCTCAGACGGTGACTGAGATTGAAGAGGTCTTGAAAGAACGAGAGACAAGCGCCCGCGATGCTGGCTTGTCATCGCCTGTCAACGGCGACGTCGATATGGGCGACGCGCCCCCGAGCCACGCGATTCCGACTAACGGCAGGGCGCCACGGCTGGAGAAGCGACAGATCGAGCAGCGCATTGAGGAGGACCGCGAACGCCACAAAAGACTGCGCGAGAGTATCTGGGCCATCCCATCGCACGACAACGCTGAGACCGACAAGATCTGGGAGGAGACAAGCGACATGGGTGACGATGACCACATCCTTGGACAGGAGGAGTTTACCGAGTGGCGCCAGTCCATGGAACATCAGTGCGCACCTCGTCCGCCCGCTGGTCCCGCCAGCACCCGTATCACGAATGGCAACAAGAAATATTAGTTGCTGCTTACTCGAACTCACAATAGGCATATCGGGGCGTTTGGGTGATTGAGTCAAAATAGGCGTTAAACGGTCGGTTCTCGTAGAGCCATGTATACCACTGATCGGGTATGGTTGCTTCCATGGTTCCTGTAGTTGTGGGCTCTGCGGCGCATGAGGCAGTAGCCAGTCACAAAAAGAGAGGTCTCAAAGTCGTCAGTCAATGGTGGTGTATGTCTTTATAATATTGTTACATGGGTGTTTATACACTCATACACATCACATCTAGACCAATCCGATCCAGATCTCGACGTCAAAAATGTCCCGAGTTTTCATCATCTCCTCCCAGGAGAGTAATCGTCGCTCTCGTCCACTGAGCCTAGCCAGCCAATGCAAACGGGAAGAATTTACTCCATAACGACGGTGGCACCAAGCTCCTTCATCGTGGCGATAATCTTCTCAGCCTCGTCCTTGGCTACGTTCTCCTTCATCAGCTTCGGCGCGCTCTCGACGAACTTCTTGCTGTCCACCAAGCTGAGACCGAGCAAATTCTTGACCTCCTTAATAACCTTGGCTTTGGCACCAGCGTCGAAAGCAGTCAGCTTGAGGTTGAAGACGCTCTTCTCGGCGGCGGCTGGCGCAGCCTCCTCGGCGGCCTCAGCGGGGGCGGCTGCTGCGGGGGCAGCGGCGGCAGCAAAACCACCAACGGGAAGATCGGGGATGTTGAGCTTGGTCTGAAATAGTGTACATCGTCAACATCAGCGCATTCTGCATCTGGCGACATAATTGGGTTCCACTATCCACCCCGACCATATCCGTATTTAACTCACCTTCAAGCTTGAGACGAGGTCGGCAGTTTCCAGAAGGGTAAGGGTGCTGATCTGGTCGACGATAGCGGCGATCTTGGGGTTCGTGGGTGCTGCAGCCTCGGTCGAGTTGTGCCTCCTAGCGGTCGCGGGGGTTCGGGTCTGGAAGAGGGTCGTCGAAGCCCGCAGAGAGCTGCTGGAACGGAGCTGGCGGGCGCAGCTCTGGGCTGCGTATCTGCAAGAGAGCGCCATTGCGAGTGCGTTTGTGATTGAAGGGTTTTTTGCAGGAGCGCAATTGAACCTTCGTTCGGGGCGTGGCAGGTGGGCGGGAGGAGTGGAATTGGTCGTCGGTTCGGCCTTCGCAGCACGCAGGGAGATTCCAAATTCGGGATTCACACTGCTTGAAGTTTTTCGAGCTCGATTGCCCAGTCGCGCGAGTGGTGCAGAGTTGTCTCCACTTTGATTAGTTCGGCCCTTTATACCGCCGCCTTCCGTCCAAGAAGCTGCCGCTAGGAACGTACAGACCGGGACCCCTGTCGCTACCGAAAAAAAAAGTTGCTGTTGGCTGGGGCGAAGGGTCCTCTGAGCGAGATGCAAGAAAAAAAAAAAGTACATACAAACCAGCCGTCCATGAACATCATCGCAGACGACATATCTCTCGATTGAGCCGCAACCATGGCCGCGATTGACGTCTCGTCACAGAGGAGCGCTCTATTGAACGACGCGATCGTTCTTGAGCATCTACCTACCGAAATTATTGAGGTCATTAGAAATCACACGGCCCCAAACCTCCTCGATGCCATTGCGGAAGCGGCTCTCATCCCCCAACTTACAGATCGAATTTTCATTCACTTCGAGAATGTGTTTCCCGACATCTGCGCACGATGGCTTCTCAACCCCAGGAACCAAACAAGAAATGGAGCCGTCCTTGCAGCTATCGCAAAGATTCTGCCACTCGCTCCTTATTTATCGGAATTTCTGCAACAGGTCATGAGCGAAGATCTGACCCAATCACCGTCGCCAGGGCCGCAGACCCTGAGTGTCCGATTTCCCGACCTCACTTCTTTCACTTCTACTCAGAGTTCCGACCTTCTTCAACTACTCCTTGCAGCATGGAGACTGGTCTGTTTTGACCAGAGGACTTACGCTGTCCTTGTCTCACCCACTCATATGCAAGGACTCTTCACACATGAAAGCCGCGCCGTCCGGTATATGGCGATTCGGATTTTTACACAGATCCTCCGCGCAGCCGATTCAAAACTGGAGGCCCTCATTGACGAGCATGTCGGAACAATAGATGCCATTGTCGCTGAATTTGACGGGCGTGAGGTAGACTTTGGGTTCTTGAGTCTATATGAGGATGCGCGTATCAAGAAGACCGCAGCAATCCGCGGCGAGCTTAGCGATGCCCCCGAGAGCAATCAAATCCAACCAATTCCACCCCAAAGTCTGACCCCATTTGTTGCGTGCTACGGCAACGCAATACTGCCGCGACCATCCGGCCCGGTCAAGAAGAACTCCTCCCTCGTGCTGACATCCACCACGACGCGCAATCTGGAGACTCTGGCCGGTCTCCTGAAGAATGCCAGTCCTATTTTGATGCATGGTCTACCAGGCTCCGGCAAAACGTCTTTGGTCCACGAAGTTGCCAAGGAGTTCGGCAAGCATTCAGAGATGGTGACACTGCATATCAACGAACAGACAGACGCCAAGATGCTCATTGGCCTCTACTCGACAGACTCGAAACCTGGAACCTTTTCTTGGAGACCTGGTGTGCTGACGACTGCGGTAAGAGAAGGAAGATGGGTTGTCATTGAGGATTTGGATAGAGCACCGAACGAAGTCATCAGCACGCTGCTACCCCTAATCGAGCGTGGTGAGCTTCTTATCCCCAGCAGAGGAGAGCGGATCAAGGCTGCAAGTGGCTTCAGACTCTTCGGCACTGTCAGAACTTCTCGCGGCATGCACGGTCGGGAGACGCTCCCTAACCTTCTCGGATTGCGCTTCTGGCAGCTTGTTTCTGTACAGACTCCCACTGAAGCCGAGCTGCAGGAAATCATCACTGGATCACACCCAATCCTTCACAAGTTTGCCCCTGGAATACTCGCTGTGTACCGCCGATTATCCAAGCCCACCGGAAATTTGCCCTATTCACCAAGTCGTGGTATGGCCGATCGTCAAGCTAGTTTGCGAGACCTTCTACGATGGTGCAGACGCCTCAGAGCAACACTTTCTGCCGCGGGTTGCAGCACTGGAGACGAGCCGATCAGCGAAACCACCCGTGACTGGATGTTCATGGAAGCGATCGACTGTTTTGTAGCGGGTATTCCGGACGTCCAAGCCAAGAGGCATCTTATTTTCGCCATTGCTGAGGAGATGCACATGGCCAAGGAGCGGGTCGAACATTTCCTTGAGGCCTATATACCGCAGCTGGAGCAGAACGACAGCCAGTTCAAGATCGGCCGGACGACCCTGCGGAAACGCAAGGATCGCGTGAATAAGGCTGCTCTTGCCAAGAGACCGTTTGCGAGCACAACACACGCAAAGAAGTTGCTGGAGCAGGCCGCGGTTGCAGTAAACCTCGGCGAGCCGATCTTGCTCGTTGGTGAGACTGGTATTGGAAAGACTACAGTCATCCAGCAGTTGGCTGACACTCTGGGTCATAAGCTAGTCGCAATCAACTTGTCCCAGCAAAGTGAGGCTGGCGATCTTCTCGGAGGTTTCAAACCCGTGAACATTCGAACCCTCGCTGTTCCTTTAAAGGAGGACTTCGAAGATCTCTTCTCCGCCACGGGTATCTCACAGACGAAGAACCAGCGGTATCTCGAGCAGATCGGAAAAGGCTTTGCCAAGGGCCAGTGGGCTAAGGTCGCGAAGTTGTGGCGCGAGGCTCCCAAGATGTTCAAGACGATTATCGAGAAGCTGGCCAGCCGCGAGAGAGAAAACAGCGAAGCTGTCGAGGAGCCAACTCAGCCAACAAAACGTCGCAAGACGGAATCCAAGCTTCAAACCCTTCTCGAATTGAGTCCTAGGTGGGATCAATTCTCTCGGAATCTCGACCAATTCGAGGTTCAGCTGTCTGGAGGCGCAACCGCATTTGCTTTCTCGTTCATTGAAGGCAACATTGTCAAAGCAGCTCGCAATGGTGACTGGGTTCTGCTGGATGAAATCAATCTTGCTTCTCCTGATACTTTGGAGAGTATTGCCGATCTTTTGACTGGACCTGTCGACACACCTTCCATTCTGCTTTCTGAGACAGGTGAAATCGAACGGATCCAAGCACATCCTAACTTTCGCATCTTTGGTGCTATGAACCCGGCAACAGACGTGGGCAAGCGCGATCTCCCAATCGGCATTCGGTCTCGATTTACTGAGCTCTACGTCGATAGTCCCGACAAGGATGTCAAGGACTTGCTAACTATAGTGAAGACGTACCTGAAGAGCAGTAGCACAAAGGACGAGCAGGCAGCTGACGATATCTCACGGCTGTATCTTGATACCAAGCTCCGCGCCGAGGAGAAACGCTTAGTCGATGGAGCGAACGAAGTGCCGCACTTCAGTCTCCGCACGCTCACTCGCGTTCTAACTTACGTCAACTACATTGCACCTTTCTACGGTCTTCGCCGAGCGTTGTATGAGGGCTTTTCTATGGGTTTCCTTACCCTGCTTGACCGAGACTCAGAAAAGTTGCTCACGCCTCTGATTGATCACCGACTCTTCGGCCGAATTTCGAATCCCCAGTCGTTACTCTCGCAGCCCCCGAAACAGCCCGACGATGGCAAGCAGTACGTGCGCTTCCGCAACAAGGCAAAGGATCGTCATTACTGGCTGGCCCAAGGGGAGATGACTCCTGTAGAGCGATCGGACTACATCATCACCAACTACGTGGAAAGAAATCTACTGAACCTTGTCCGAGCAACCTCTACCAGGCGGTTCCCAATTCTAATCCAAGGTCCGACGTCAGCAGGAAAGACTAGTATGATTGAGTATTTGGCAAACTTCACTGGCAATAAGTTTGTGCGTATCAACAACCACGAGCACACCGATCTCCAAGAGTACTTGGGCACCTATGTGTCGGATTCTTCGGGGCGGCTCCGCTTCCAAGAAGGTCTGCTTGTCCAAGCCATGCGACAAGGTCATTGGATCGTGCTCGACGAGTTGAACCTTGCCCCCACAGATGTTCTCGAGGCCCTGAACAGACTCCTCGACGACAACCGAGAACTCCTTATCCCAGAGACCCAAGAAGTTGTGCAGCCGCACGAGAACTTCATGCTGTTTGCCACACAGAACCCCCCAGGCTTGTATGGTGGTCGAAAGGTGCTCTCGCGTGCCTTCCGCAACCGTTTCTTGGAGTTGCACTTTGACGACATCCCCGAGGATGAGTTGGAGTATATCCTGCAAAAACGAAGCGTGAACAGGGCCCCTTCGGACTGCAAACGTATCGTCTCTGTGTACAAGGAACTTTCCCGCCTCCGGCAGACAAGCCGTTTATTCGAACAAAAAGATAGTTTCGCTACCCTGCGTGATCTTTTCCGATGGGCTCTGCGAGACGCCGAGACTCGCGAGCAGATCGCAGTCAATGGTTTCATGCTCCTGGCCGAGCGAGTTCGTGTCGAAGAAGAACGTACGGCAGTCAGGGAAGTCATTGAGAGCGTTTTCAAAGTAAATATCGACCCAGAGGTGCTTTACACCGCCAAGTACTCTCCTATCCTAGAAAGGATTCAGGCTATGCCCAATAACCATGGCGTCGTTTGGACCCGTGCGATGCGTCGTTTGTACGTCCTGGTCGACACCGCTATTCGCAACAACGAGCCTGTCCTTCTTGTGGGCGAGACCGGATGCGGCAAGACCACCGTCTGCCAGATTCTTGCAGAGGTGCTCGGAAAGGAACTACACATTGTCAATGCCCACCAAAATACCGAAACTGGAGATCTTATCGGTTCTCAAAGACCCGTAAGAAACCGTGGCGCAATCGCTGACTCGTTGAAGACTGAGTTGACCTCCGTTCACACTCTCCTTGGCGAGGATTCAACAGGTCCTCTGGACGAGCTGCTGGATAGATACCGCGGCCTGTCGCCTGAGGTGCTGGCCAAGGTCGATGCTGCTACTCAGGAGAAGATCGCAACCTTAGAGACCAAGAGCAAGGCCTTGTTCGAATGGTCCGACGGAAGCCTTGTCCACGCCATGAAGTCCGGGCAATTCTTCTTACTTGACGAAATATCGCTGGCTGATGACTCTGTTTTGGAGCGTTT